CGTGCGCATGATTTTGTGGATGTTGTGAAAGTAATTCTTTTTGTTTTTTTTTTGGTGTAATTTTGTTATAACTTTGTGAAATGGACTTGTCTTTATTTTTTATGTAAATGGACTTTTATAATTATATATGGGCTTCATGTTGAATTTTGGATTTTATAAAAAAAGTATCATGAATTGATATTTGGCTTTCAAATTTGGATCTAGAAAATAGGATTTGGATGATAAGGATGGATGTTTATGAATGGGTATTGAAACAGAAATAAAACGGGAATTGGGTACTAAAACGGGAATCAGATGAAAAGAGTAAATGAATTTGGAATGAATTTAAAAGAGAATGGATATGAGATGTGGATTGAAAGAAGTGGGTTTGAAAATGGATATGAAATGTTTAGGAATATATATTTAAAATGGGTAACCATGGATTATGGTTATGGAAACTTGGTTTTAAAAGAAAAATGGAGAAAGAAATAATAGTCTAAGGAGAACAGACAATGACACCCTGATTTTAATCCACAACCAAACTTAAAACATTCCCACAAACCTCTGATAACACAATGAAATTACTCTTGAACTACTGACCACCTTATAATTGAAGTCACGAGCGTTGGAATCAACTTGCACTCTTCCATAATTTCCTCTAAATCTGTTTGAATCAACCTTGGTGAACTTCTTCACGAGACAACTCGACATCATCAAATATCTTAGACTTACACCAAACACCTGGTGTGATGATCCTCAGACATAAGACATCGATCCATGACAAATCCAACTTGAGAATGACATAAACTCCTCCTTCTTGACCAAGGTCAGACTATTGCACACATACATTTAACCTGCTAGCTTATAGTGAACTCCAAATGAACGATACTTGTCGATCATAAACAAAAGGGTGAGAAGCCCTAATCTTCATGCCTTGAGTGCACATCTAATGAAATAAATGACTTGGTGAAGACCAAAAACCTAATTCAGAATCTCTGCCACAACCTGATAACTTAATATTGAAACAACCCACTTGTTTGACAGAGATTAGGTCAAACTCCTATTGAATCTCAAACCACACCTCACACGCCCTTGTCCTGATAACCTTGCCTGATCCTTGATCCAGTTTTGTACAACATGAGCCTCAAAGAACTTGTGATGAAACCAAATTACCCTGGATTATTGAGGAATGGAGGTCTCTTTTGAGTATGAGGACTTAATTAGTGAATAATCTATCCAAAACCTTGATTGATCAACCCTAGAAGCCTCTGAAGTAAAAACCTAATTCATAAGCGAAACGAAACAAATAAAGTCTGACAAATTAGTTAGCTATGCAACATGATTGACCTAGAACGTTCATGCAAAAGATCAAAGAATCTGAGGGTAAAATTTAGGGTATGACAGTTAGGGTTTTATGTTTTCCACGATTCAGTGCCTTAAAGTGTTTATATTTGAAAATGAATGATATATTTGGATTCTACGTGAAAAAATAAGTGGAGTGACGGTTTTGTTTTTCATTCTTGGACATTTTAATGTTGCTCCGGTGGGATGCTAGCCGGAGAAGACGATCGGAGTTAGGGCTTCGACGTCTGAGATGTTTGCAGGTGATGAAGTGGCGTTGGCACCCAGTTCTGAGTTCAAATGAAAAGATGTGTTGCTTCCTGATTTGCCTGCGTGTGTGACTGGATGATGACTGAATTAATGAGGGTGATGTGGACATGGTGAGGTGGATTTGAGTATTTGGGTTGGTTTGGACCTGGATTTTGTTGTTATCTACACCCATTGTTTTTTGGCAACTGGTTCTAGTTCATTTTGGTTTTCTGATTGGCACCCCCCCTTGACCCTCTTTTGTTCTATTTTATTTCTTATTCAATTTTGATTTTATTTTTTATCTTAATTCCATTTTAAAAAATTATTAAAAATATGATTTAAGCATTTTGATGTCTTGTGAGTTTTTTCATATTTTTATTTTTTATTTTCCATTTAGTTTTACATTTTATTTGGAATTAATTGTGAAGGTGTTTTTACTTGATCGTTCTTGAATTAGGGTTTTATGTTATATGCCTTATGAACCACTTTTTGAGCCAATATTTTGGACATGTTTAAGAACATACATGCTTAGGGTTTTAGTGTTATTGTGATGCATTTATGTTGCATATTTGATCATTTTTTATTTGATTTTATTTAGCCCCGATGTATGCTTAGTCAATGAGGTGTAGTTGTGATTGAAGAATTATTTTGGTGTTGTACATGTGCAATTTTCTTTGGCATATTTTTCTCACATGTTCTTGGATGTTTTGTCGTGAGGTAGAGTCTTGGTTTCATATTTTTTTGGCCATTTAAATATTTTAAATTGATGCTTCCTTTTGATGCTACCTTTAAGATGAAGTTTGCCTATCTTTGACCTAGTTTTAGGACTTGTTGCTTGCATGAATCTTCTTGATATTTGAGACTCTTGTATGATGTGAATTTCTTGTTTTAGCAACTACCCTTCCATGTCTTAATATCCAATTGCATGATCACTTGCTCTTTTATTGGATAGTTGCTTCCTTTTAAGGATGATTTTGATTGATGAATGCTTAGTTGCTTGATCATGTTTTGAGTATGAAGCCTATTGAATCTTCTTTCCATATTTAACTTTGTTTTGAATTGACATTCATATTTATGCTACTGTCTCATCATGTTATCTCAATGCTTGAATAATTATATCTTGTTTCTTATGAACTAATGGTTGACAATTTTTTGCTATTGATGCAGCTCATGTTTGATCCATTTGTGTTCCTTTCTCAATCTTTGAAATGTGTTTAACATGTTATGATGTAGCTACTGACTTGTATTTATTCTCATCTTACTTTTTCAATTTGACTTTGTGTGCTAAATGATGATATTGGTTGTTACTTCAAGTCATGAATGCTTGTGCACTACTTGTTTGTCATGGCCTATTTCCTCAACCCTAATCTTTGGATTCTTTTAAGCATGATCTATGATGTTTTAAATGTGTGCATAAGTGTTTATTTTACACATATTTGTTGCTTAGGTCCACGTTTGAAGCATGTCTTGACTTAGCATTGATGTTTGTCACTTGTGGATTGATTATTGAATCTCTTTGCATTGTTTGTTGTCTAAGTTGAATACTTAATGATATGAGCTTCTATCTTTGATTTTGACTTTGCTTTTGAATATTTACTTTAGTCTTGTACTTTTTGTTGCTTAATGATTGAGTTGTGTAATATTTACTTTTGTTGTGCCATGTGCTCACATGCTCTCATAAGATTCCTAGTCCAACTTAATTTCTGATTAAGCTTGGAGTAGGATAGACATTAGCCTCTCAATCCTTTGCATGGCAACATTAGGTTAGTTCCTTTTTAACCTCAACCTTAGGTCCATCTCTTGTATGTTAACATTAGGGTAGAATTCTCTTTCTCATCTCAACTATAGGAACATTTGGCATGCATGACAACATTTAGGGTGGAGATCCCTTAGTCTTTTTCTTTTCTCATTTGAGTCTCTTTCTTCTCTCCCTTAAATCAATTTCAAAATACGTAATAAATACGATGAGTATAGTATGTCACGAGCCTTAAATACATGGGAAATGATGAGTGGAAGTCTCTCCTTACTTCTTCTAGAGTGCTTTGCATACGTCCCATATGGTGGCGATCTTGCAAAGTATTCGCTCCTATGTCATAGACTTTAGTACGATACACATCTTAAACAAAGTCAATGCGCTTCTTTAAAACACTTCAATAAATGCAAATCATTTTGTCCTTCGGTATTTTCTCCTCAAACCATTTTCATAAAAAGCATGTTATTTTCGTTCTATTGCAAAAAGGCAACATCCATAACTGCTAGAATGCGAACTTAGCATCGCTCATAAAAGACACTAAGCAACTCGTAGTCCCATGAACTATGAACGCTCTGATTTCTTCATTCTCGTCCGAATGAAGATACATAGGCACAAGACGAAGAAGTCTTGGCGAGCACCCTCCCCCTTTTTCACTCGTAGTCCTTCGAATTATGTTGACTCTGACTTTCACATTGCACGAGGGAATACGTAGGCATAGGACAACGAGGTCCTATCGAGTCCCCTTTTGTTTTTTCCCTTTTCGTTTCTGCTTTCTCTTAGCAAGTAGGCTTTAGATAAACATACCCTTTGATTAGAACAACAAAAGTGGATTTCGTTGAGTACAATGGACGTGAGAGGTGCTAATACCTTCCTCTCGCGTAATCGACTCTCGAACCCTGAATTTGATTGCGAGACCATGTTCTTTCCCCTTTTGAGGTTTCTTCGATCGTTTCCTTTCCCTGTCAGGATAAATAATGTTCGATGGCGATTCTGTTTCCCGCCGGTTGTTTTTCGCGTTGCGACAGGTGTGAACTAAATATTCAGTTTAAAAATTATGTTATAGTTTGCTGTTGGTTGTTGGTTTGCAATGTGTCTGACATCTCAACTGATGTCATTATTTACAAATGTACTGAAGTACTATAAAACTGTGAGAATGATTTTAACTGATAAGTGGCGATAAAATATATTCCATACAATTTTTTTGCTGCAAGTATGGTGCTTAGAATTTAGATATTGCCGAATGAAGTATTATAAACCATGTCTACAGGTTCATACACCATGTATACAAGTATATGCAGAATGTTATTAAAATATGGGATTGAGGTAGAAGCCAATGGTACAAGTACATAATCAATGTCTACTTAAATCAAATAATAGGACCTAAGTTGTGAATACACATGTCTGAATGGAGTGTTTCTTACCTGATGTGCCCGTTAACAGAACAACAATTCATGATAATATAAGGTGTTTATAGTCAATTAATTGTCAATAACATTAGGTTACAAATGGTCATGCTCCGTAGTCAAGGTTGGAGGTTAAGCATTAACTAAAAGTAGCAAAATAAGAAACTTCTAACATCCCAACAGAACATTGTTGTACCAACATAAGTCGAGATGAAAGCGGATGACCATTCCTTCTTGGCATACTTCACACTCTTTGCTGCAGATTTCTTGGGTGACTACATAGTTAAATTTGCAGGCTCCTCAATAGAATTTTCTTGGGATAATCTCTTGGAAGGGGCATTGCTTGAATTATCTTCGTCACTCAAGTTTCGTGAAGCAGCATGGTTGGCTGAAAAATGGGATAATCAATCTATGATATCAATTGGCAATTATCTTTCATAGAAACTTAATAGATTACAAAAAAATGACTACTAAACAAACTTAATGTCAGAAGGGAAGTTAGAGTGACTGCTCCATTGTAGGCAATGTGTTGGTTACCAATGATTTCTTTTCCTTCAATACTTGGGGCATTCATGGCAATTTTAGAAGTTCCCTACACAATTGTAGGGTGAGCATCCAAGTGCTTGAGTTGAAGAGTTTAATTAACTTTTGATATGTTATAAATATACATACCTCATTTAGATGCAGTTCCTCTTTGATCATTTGGATTACTTGTTGATCCTCAGTTATCTTGACAAGAGAAGACTGCTTAAAGTTCGATTGAAACTTCACACGAAAAGCAAATTCTTTACCTAAAAGTTTGTCCAGGTGTGCTGGGTAGATCTGCGGATGATCTTCATCAAATTGGGGATATAGTAGGGAAACAAGAAATTCCAATCGTTAAATATAGGCATAAAGAATAGTTACTATTAAATAATAGTAGCATGAATAATGATAGTCTGCCAAATCCAAACAATACATGAATGAATTAAGACTTTATCACAATTAGGACTACATTCCAACATGTATCTGTCAAAACACGTTTCAATAAATTTTTAGATTTTCCTTATTGCTAATGACACAAGTGAACATGCAAGGATCTTATTTCCTTCAGTTTCTCTGGAGGCACAAAATAGAAGGTGTATGGTTAATGAACTTATATACATCATATTCTTGAGATTAGCAGTAGTTTATGTAGGTATAAGTTGTTGTAAAAGTTGTTGCAGTAATTAGCATTAGTTTATATCAGAACAAAATTGTAAAAGCTGATGCAATAATTGATACATGTCCAAGTTTAACTTTAGCCAAGTAAAAACTAACAGTAGCAACCTAACAACTATTTTTCACCAAAGTCATCATCCGATAAAACAAATATTCGCTTATACGTTATGTGTATCAAGTAGACATTGCAACATTATCAAACATTAATATAAAGAATAATTACATACTTTTATCATTATATCTCTTAAATCATGGGCAGGCATTCCAACACATTTAATACACTCCTTATCCTAAAACACAAAACAACCGGTTTTGTCTGCGTATTCGACCTCAATTTAGATTTTATACCTAATCAAATATTTCAAACACAAAGAAGTTAACCATTAATCTAAGAAAGGCTAGAGAATATGTTTTTCTATAAGAGTGAGGAGCTTACTTGGTTACTAGTGGAGCACTCTTTTCACAACAGGTGCGTATGAAAGGTTCCACATGAGATTTATTAGTCCTGTTACATGATGGACATTGCTCATAGTACCAACCAAACCGACTTGACTTGAACCTCTTAGTTGTTCCAATTGTGTTGCAAAAAGTTTGCTGTAAATCAACATGATCCTGAATGTTGTAAAAACATATGCATTTGAAGAAGAATGAATTAAAAATCATTATAGATGGTTACATATTAAAGATAAATGACGTTACCAATAGTTTTGACGTCATTGGTGTAGAAGAAAGATCTGTCTACAAATGAACCTTGAGATTCAATTGGTTGGGATAATGGCTGTGAATGAACCTGGGAGCTCACTGTGTCTCCCAGCCTAAAGAACAATGGCAGATTATATAGACTGGGGTACATAACTGGAAATTGACATAAAGTTATGAAAGCATATTGTCTTACTTAGATGTGAAGGATGTGACCTGTGGATGATCAAAATGAAGAAGTAATTTTGTACCATTCCAAGCATTCGAAATGTACAGCTTCCTAGTAGCTACGACAATAAAAGAGTCAGAACATTAAGAGAAAGGTAAGCAAGCACGCATAAACGAAAGGAATAAAAATGACTTAACATTCCAAGCATTACTTGAACGTTGTTGGTACATAGCATGAGTGATTATGATAATTATGTGGCCATGTGTGGTATGCTCAGTTGTGTAGGCCATAAATTGCTTGACGTATGCTTCCCAAAGTGTATGATCAATTTCAGAACCACTAATAATAAAAAGAAAAATAAAGGTGTTATAGACAGTTATGTAACATGCAAAAAATAACAGAATGAAATAGGTAAAGATATGATGATATATACATCTCATCAAATAAGAGTATGTTGACGCAAGCCTTTCGACCCCACCCGCAACTTGAGTCTTTACTACTTGGTGTAATACACCAATCACACCTGCACGAGATTAAACAAAAACATGGTTAATACATTGATTTATTTTAAATATTTTAGGATGCAACTAATATTCAAAATAATTTCAATTACCGCATAAGCGCTAGATTTGGAAATCTCCGTGTAAGAAATCGACAATGGGTTTGAAATCAAATTCGTGGGCTGGTATTTCCGGCATGTCTACCATGGTTACAATTGTTCCACCATTAAAAAATAGCTTCAAGGGGTTGACACAGATGTTCAAAGGAAGATCATTGGTTAAAGGGTCACTATTATAAACCATATAAGTTCAATGCTCATGTAACCTTTCTTTCGACTGTTCGAAATCTCTATTCTGGATAACGACGTGTATTTTATTGCACTATGCATAAATATGATATTTAGAAGTTATTTTGAGTGCATTGAAATTATATAACATAGTCTAAGAATGAATACCTTGTTATCTTGGATAACACATTCAAAGTGTTGTTGTCCATTACGCTCCTTAGCAATCAACAAATCAACGACACAAATGGTGAACTTTCATACATTGTTACCTGTCTTCAAATCAACAATCATAATGGATGCTCTAGACGTAGTGATATATAAAAAGACAATGGAAAAATGAAACAAGTAAGAAACAAAAACATTCGTCGGGAAAAATGCGGCCGACGTGTTTCACACAAAAAAGCCAAAGCAAGATGAATAAAAATGACAAGCCATGAGCAATATATTGAAATCCAAGTTGTGCAAAAAACTATTTTCTTTGTGATGAAATAAGAAATTTCACATGGAAAGCCACATGAACAATAAGATATTGATTAAACATAAACTTTCACAGACCAAAACATGAGCACATAACAAACATTCAAAACCCGAACTTTCATAGGTCCATGTGTTTCATAAGAAAAAACCACAATAAAATGGAGAAATCAACGTTGTGCAGAATGTTTTAAGCTCAGACATTAAACAAAATGAAGAGCAGGAATAAAAACTTTCACATGGAAATCAAGAAAAAAAAGGAACTATAAATTTTCATGAATAAACAAGTTATCATTTGGTTTTCATACTGATTTGCAACTATAAATTGTTACTGTCATATAAATTGAGCTGACATAGTTTTCATATACTTTCATTTTCATTGATACATTGTTAAAGAAGATAAATTGTTCCTGTCATTTTCATTGATACATTGTTAAAGAAGATAAATTGTTACTTTCATTTTCATATAAATTATTACTTTCATGATGGTTTATAGTGTGTGAGTTCTTTTCATAGTCATGACAACGTATATCATTTTTTATATCAGTACAATGTTGCTGCTATAAACTTTAGAAAATCTCTTCATGATACATGGCATATCTTAATAGTAGACCATGATGGTTTACCCTTTTTTTATGTAAGTACAAAAAGATATTGATTAAACATGAACTTTCACAGACCAAAACATGAGCACATAATAAATAGATTCAAAACTTTAACATTCAAAACACAAACTTTCATAGGTCTATGTGTGAAACAAAGAAAAAATTACAACAAAATGGATGAAATCAATGTTGTGCGAAAAGTTTAAAGCTTTGACATTAAACAAAATGAAGAGCAGGAATAAGAACTTTCACATGGAAATCGAGAAAAAAATGAACTTTAACAGAGCAAAAAGGAACTTCACACACACAACGATGAGAAAAAACATGAGCACAAAACACAAAGTTTTCAAAGTTTCATAGAAAAAATAGGAACTGTAACACGTCAAAACATGCACTTTGTCATCGTAATGCATGAGCAAACTCTTCATGACATGTTTAACTATTAATGCAGAAAGTAAAAATCTTTCACTTAGCAAAATTTGAAAAGAAGTTCAACGAAAATGCTGGGACAAACAATGGAAAACCAGCTTAACAATCATGATAATATATTGTCTGAATGAGATTGAACCTTGAATGGAGGATGAGAGACGATGTAGCAAGAACGTTGATCGGAATGTCAGTTTGGTGTAGTTGTTCTTCAGCTATATGAGAGAGACGAGGAAGCAAAATTCATTAGAAGTGTTTGATGAAAGATGCAACAAGGAAATGAGAGAAGTAGAGATTAGAAATGGTGGGGAAAAGAGAGGGAAAATTGGTCTAATGTACTGAACTGAAATCAGATCAATACGATGCTGTCATGTAGAAGAAAAACAAGTTCTCATGAAATTAAAGATTGAGTAATATATTAATTACAAAAAACTCCTTTCATTAGGCATTTTTTATTTGGTCTAAAGAATAAATTAGGAAGATTGGTGGCATCGAATATTGTTGAGTTATATTTATTTCTCCAATGATAATGCCTTTATGTTTTATTTATTTATAGGCTTGTTAGTATATAAAAACATACCTAGTCATCATCACCACACACAAACACAAACACAGTACCAAACACGCACAACAATGTTCAATCAAAAAATGTTCTTACAAGACGATTCGCTCTTCAACTATGCACTCCTCACTCTCTTCCTCATAGCACCACCAACCTTCGTCTCTCTCGCATTCCTCCAAGCCCCATACGGCAAACACCACAGACCAGGTTGGGGTCCAAATCTCTCTCCACCTCTCGCATGGTTTCTCATGGAAAGTCCCACACTTTGGTTCACCCTTTATCTTTTCCCATTCGGTAAAAACTCTTCAAACCCTAAATCAATTATCCTCATCATCCCTTTTCTAATTCATTACTTCAACCGCACAATTATCTACCCAGTTCGCTTGTTCATCACAATGAAAACGAAAAAGAACTCAACTTTATCGAAAACCCCGTCTGGGTTTCCTTTTAGTATAGCCCTTTTGGCTTTTGTGTTCAATTTGTTGAATTCTTATGTTCAAGCTAGATGGGTTTCTCACTACAAGAGTTATGATGATGAATTGTTTTTTTGGGTTGTGTTTTTTTGTGGGGTTTTGGTGTTTTTTCTTGGGATGGGGATTAATGTTTTGTCTGATAAGGAACTGTTGAGTCTTAAAGGGGAAGGGAAAGGGTATGTGGTTCCTAAAGGAGGGTTTTTTGAGGTTGTGAGTTGTCCTAATTACTTTGGGGAGATTGTGGAGTGGTTTGGTTGGGCTTTGATGACTTGGTCTTGGGCTGGCCTGGGCTTTTTTGTTTACACTTTTGCTAACTTGGGGCCTAGAGCACGTGCTAATCATCAGTGGTATTTGGAGAAATTTGGAGAGGATTATCCAAAGAAAAGGAAAGCTGTTATTCCTTACTTGTATTGATTTTTTCTGAGTTGTTGTAATTTGGGGTGTGCTGTATTTATAGTTGTTGAAGAGCAGAAAATAATGAGAAAATGTTGCTGAATTAAAGCAAGAAAGTTTGTTTCTCTTGGACTGGTGTTTTTGTTCTAATGGAGTGTCTTTTCTTAGATGTGTTTGTTTTTAATATCATTATTCAACATGATTATTTAGCGACTACTATTTTATAAAAACATTTTTCAAAAACACTCATTGTTTGTGTATGTTGAGGGTTTTACATAGCTCGTGGTAACGGTGTAGTCGTATCATGATGCAGCGTCAACCACAATCACGCCGGGGTAACAGGTGTAGTTGCATCATGATGCAACCTCAACCACAATCACTTTATGGTTTTGACAACATCAAAACATGTGATGTTGTGGTTTATGGTTTTACATCAAAACATGTGATGTTGTGGTCGCGGTTATAGGTGTAGCCGTATCATGATGCAGTCTCAACCACAATCACTTTGTAGTTCAACAGCATCAAAACACGTGATGTTGTGGCCCGATTGCAGCCTCAACTGCAATCACATTATGGTTTCGACAGCATCAAAACATGTGATGTTGTGGCCTGCAATCACATTATGGTTTCGACAACATTAAAACTCGTGATGTCGGGCCTTATTGCAGCCACAGACTTATATCTATAACCGCCTGACTGCAGCCGCAGTCCTATATCTATAACCGCCTGATTGCAGCTGCCTATATCTATAACCACCAATTTTTCGTATAAAAAATATATATCTTCATGTTATCATATGTGTGTAAGATGCATTAAGGGATGGATAACAATTACCTAATTATCGATAAATGATCAATGTTAATGTTTAATATTTTCATCAATATCTCAACTATGAATTGATATATAGTTTGTCATAGCATCTATAACATGATTTTTTCTTTTGTCTGTCATGATAATATAAGGATCTTTATATGCAAATCTGACATATTTTTAAATCTAACATTTTCCAGCAAATGTTATCTACCAATGGAAAAAAATTTGGTTTGAGAAAAGACTTAGTGTTGCTACTAGTTAACCCTTCAAAAAATTGAGAGCAAGCATGCAATTCAGACTTAATAACAAAGGACACATGTGCAACTGTAAGGTGCACATGTTGCACTATCTTCCATTCAAATTGTATACCAGCTACATGCTGCGGCATATTGAAATATGGTGTTGTTCTGACACGAGAGAAGCAAATGCAGAAAACATCAAGTGGAAGAGGGATAACTTCGTAATAAATACTGAAGTCTAAGGTTCATTGCTATGAATGTGAATTGCATCATGCCGAAAGAATGTATTGTGTTGAAATGTGTATAGGAAATGGATGGTATCAATTTGTGAAGTGAAAAGAGGCGATCGACTAGCATTTATACTCCGCCACCCACCATGTGACAGACTTGTTGTGAAGATGTTAAACCGTTGAACGTTGGTCCACGTAGTAGGATGGTTGGTATCGCTATTTTGGTGAAATTGTAGGAGTACGTTTGGATGTTGTGAGTCTTGGTTGATGATGTATTTGTTTTTGTTGTCTTTGTGTCATGTGGAATATTCTAGACACTTCAAAAATTCACTTACATTTGCTACAATACATCATTTCAAATTAAGACCACCATGTAACTTCATTTGCAAGTATGTGAACCTTGGGATTTTGGACTTGCATTCAGATGCTCCCACCGAGTTAACAAATAACTAACTGAGTCAACTTCCAACTCAGTGAGTTAGATGTAACTAAATCTAAAGCTAGCTCCAAAGCAAACTCCAAAGCTAGCTTCTATTTAAGAAAACCTTCACACTTTTACTAGGGACTCTTAACCATTTCTCTCATTTCTCAACCATTTCTCTTAATTCTCTCTCACTTTCGCTGTTCTTTATCAATTCTCTCTGAATTTTCTGCAATTCACCTTCATCTTTTCATTAAACCACACACAAAAGCTCAATTTTCACCTTTAGAGTGTAACAATCTTCACATCGAAATTGTTATTCTCTTGAGATAAACCTCTATTCCACTATATTTCTACTTGGATTTATGGATTTACAGTAGCTTCTACTCCAATTCAAGTAATCATCTCAAGCTTCTCGGTGCAAATCAGCATTTTGAGCATTTATCGTGTTTTTATCGGTTTCGCTACGATTTGATCTCAAGCTTGGAATTCGTTGGTTTTCTTTGTTTATTCTCACTACATTTTACTTACAACAATCACCAAGGCAATCCTCCGCCTTGTAGGTTGTTAATTCTCACTCGATTTATTGTTTTTGATCACTTTCACGTGTTTATGATGTAGATTTGATAGCTTTTTGATGTGATTTGATAGCTTTTTGATGTGATTTGATCATTCAATTGTTTGATTGTTAAAATTGATGTTTCATGAATTCAGTTGATGTTTAATTGTTTCTACTTAATGTAATTTTCGTGAATATGTAACGTTTTGAAAAATCATGTAGTATTAAGTGAATCTCTCTTGTGTCGAGAGACCTTTGTCAGCAGGAGTAAGTAAGGTCAGTCTATTTACAGTAATGGGCCAATTCTTGGGTTCTCCAGCAGAATGATTGGGCTTGTTAACCATAAAGATGGCTCAAAAGTGGCATTAAGCCATAATTGGAGCATCCAGAAGGTACCAGATAATAGAAGTGTTCCTTTGGGATTGTTAGTGAAGCTAAACGTCTTCATGGCACTAGATGCCAAACTCAAAGCTTCATAAAGTGAAGCCAAAATTAAATATCTTAAGTTGACGTTCCTCCTAGCATGCAGTTGTTTAGCAAGAATAACAAATGTTTTTGCCACTTGCAAAGAACTTGAGCAAAAGACAAAGTGTGACATCCATTGGGATAAGAAGGCAATGTGTTCTTTGTCGAAAATTTATGTGGTAGCGTCGTCGATATGGTCACCAGTGAAGTTAGTAGAGCTGGCACACTTTGGGTTGAACTCTATGATGTCGTCATTTTCGACGAACGAGTCAAACACTTATCCAGTTGGTCGAAGACTAGTGATGGCAACTACATCGAACAGTGTTGTCGTAACATGCCACAACATAGTTGGAAGGTATTCGTCGAACCATCCCAAAGTGAAGTGTCGCTAGCAACATGATTTGGTTATAAATAGGACCTACCTTAGCTAGTCGGTGAAGGGAAATCCCGACACAAGGCGCAACGAAAAACAAAAATTTCCCTTTACTTGATCCTTACGAATGAGCATGGTCAGTGATAGAAACAGTTATCTCTTATGGTGATTAACAATTTTGATGCAGATTCTGATGAATGATCACGAGCGCTAAATAAAGAACAATGCCTTACTCAGTCCACACAAACAGAATGTCTTTAATCTCAATGCAAACTACTACGATTAAAGACTTTGAGTGAGAGAGAGAAAGAGAGAAATTACGGTCAGGGTTCCACCAACCAAATTTTATCAACAGAGATAGCTTCTACACAAGGGTTGTATTTATAGAATCATTTGTGTGGGCTGCAACTTCAAAAGCCCAACTTAAGTGCACCATATAATAATAATAATAATAATAATAATAATAATAATAATAATAATAATAATAATAATAATAATAATAATAATAATAATAATAATATAACTATTATTATAATAAACATATTTATTATATTTAATAACTATTATTATAATAAGAATAATAATAATATTAACTATTATTATTATATTATACGATGTTCCATATTTCACTTAAGTACACCGTACCTTACGGTGTTCTTTAATTTTCTTAAGTACATTGTTGTTGAAGCGGTAAAGCAGCAAGCAAAAATATTATTTTCGAAAGAATTTCCTCCGGGATTTATCGTCTCCACAGGGATTAGTACGATATGAACGCCGTTCAACGATTTCTACATTTCTAAACTTATTGTTCAAAAGTTTAGGTTTAAAAGGTTCAAGGAACCATAAATAAAAACAGAAAATATAAAATAAAGACTGAAATATAAACGAAGCCTTGTTAGGATTGAATTTCATCAATTGATAACATATGCATTCTTCTGATCAAATTAAACACAACGCAATCATTCGTCTAATATCCTTACGCATCACTCACGACAAAGCTTATCTCTAATGCGGCGTCGAGTGAACAACCGTGTTGTCTTATTGGTGATCTCTCACCCAACAAAGGCACAACACAGAGCATTAAGATCTGATACTCACGCAAATGCTAAACCTAAATTTATCTCTAGAATTTAGGACCTAACAGGTAATCATCCTAGATCCAGATCTGAAGAGTATATCTCTATTACGGTTCAAATCAACGATAAACAAGAAAGCAAAGATAACACCCATATCAGATAAACAATGGTTTTGTATAAAATACAATGATCAAAATACGTACACACGCTTAACCCTTTTTACATGTATTCATCTAATCCGCCAAATGGTTATGGACATCATTCTTCATCACTATTATCACATACCCACACAATATTATATTGATCCTACCCATGCTACTCATGCTACTTAATCAACACAACACCATAGAGGATAAAATGAATATCAACTTCAAAACCATGTCAAAAGTTTGTTCATTGATAGAAGAAGATCTGAGATCAAAGATGTGAAAAGGTTTTGTCAAGACCCACAAATAAGCAACCAAAGATAATCAATCAATAGAGAATCCAAAATAGTTCACAAACATAAATTAGATGAAATACATAAGGTATCAAAAGATTATAATCCAAACCCCAACAAGAGATCGAAGATCTTACCTCCTCCCTCTTAGGGTTTTGTGTTTCTCTCTCTAGAAAATGAAGAGAGATAAGTTCTGATGTTCCAAAATGTTACAAAATGAAGTTATGGCCTAAAAAAGCAAGAAAATCTCTTAAATACACGTTCAGGATTTGTCGTGTTCGCCTAACGAACAGCTAGCGAACCTAGCGAACTTTTGATACTTTTGGCACTGTCCAATTCTGGGCGCGTTCGCTGGCCTGCTCGCCTAGCAAGCAAGCTAGCGAAGCCTTCGCTGGCACGTTCACTA